TGCCCTTGGCTAGCGTGAGCCAAGCCGAACCCCTGTCCTCAGCGCCGTTGCCGCGGGCTCGTCTCGCCTGGGAGGGGCGAAGCCGTGGCTGCAGAGGGGGAGGGAGGCGGGTGGCAGCGCTGACTTGCTCTCCTGTGAGCACCCGAACAGCTCATCGGGCGCCGAGCTGGCACGTCTCCCGCAGACTGCGGGTAGCAGAGCCTGCCTTGATGAGCTTCCTCTTCCCCAGGTGCATTTTGAGGTGATAAAATGGTAAATGAAAACGCTGCTGTTACTCCTTCGAGGGGTCTCCGAGGTGCAGGCGGCTGCGTGCCCGTGCTCCTGCCGTTTGCCTTCCTGCTGGTTCCTTGCGCAAGGGGCCGAGCACGTCCTGTAAAACGGTGCCGGCGCTGCTGGTCCTGGGTGCCGGGGTCTGCTGCGGGGGTCTGGGGAGAGCTGACACTCGCCTGCACATCAGTTTGGCAGTCCGAGCGGAGCGGGAGCCAGCTCTGCTCCAGGCGCTCGGGAGGGACGGAGGAGGATGCCGAAATAGCGGGGAGCTTGCATGCACGAGCGTGGCCTGACCCTCCGGAGCAGAGTGCTCCCCGGGCGCAAGGCTGCCGCGAGGGACGGGGTACCAGCGTGCCCTGCTCTCCTTGCAGTGAATGTAACGCTGCAGAAGCCAAAGTGACCGTCTTCGCATACCTCACCCCCTGCTTCAACGACTGCGGGCCGTACGGGCAGTGCAGCCTCCTGAGAAGACACAGCTACCTCTATGCTGGCTGCAGCTGTAAGGCTGGTGAGTGCGTTTTCCTGGGAAGCTTTGCCACCCTCCCCAAGGGGAGGCCATGTTTTTCGGTGGCGGTGTTTGGGTTGGGGAGCCTGGGCTCTGGCGTGGCTGCCAGGAGCAGCCTGGGGTCGCGGCACCTCACCGAAGAGCCCTCAGCACCCGTGGTGCCTCTTTGGGAGCGCTCTGACTTCCCCGAGGGATGCCGGGTTCTGGGAAGCACGGAGCAGCCCAGGGGAACTGGGGAATCAGGCTGACGACAGCTTTCTGCTGAATCACCCGGAGCAAAACACCCCATCTGCATATTCCTGACCCAGAAACAAAGTGGAGGGGCAGCCTCCCCGGGCTCTGCCTGGCAGGGAGCTGGCTGGAGGGGCAGAGCTGCTGGCTCGGTTTCCGGTGGCACGGTGATGGGATGGATGCTACCTTGACCGTGGCGTGCCTGCGCGTACCCAGGCTGCCCTGTGACTGACCTCCTTTCCCCAAAAGAAAGGCACGGGCCTCCTAATCGTGAATCAAACTAATTGAAAAAAGGGGGGGAAAAAAAAAAAAAAAGGCAGGTTTGTGTTTGTAGAAGGCTGCCTCAGCTCGGTCCTTGGCATCCCTTCAGCAGACTGAGAGCGGACCCCGTGTCAAGCCTAGAGCGTGCACTGTGCTCCGGGAAGTGTTCACTCCCGGCTGGGTGCGGAAGTGTGTGGGTTTGGTCACCCTGGAGAAGGAGCTGGAGGGGCGTTGAATCGCACCTTCCACTGCCCACGGGGGTCACGGGGACCCTGAAGCCGGGCTCTTCTCGGGGAGCGCAGGGAAAGGGCAAGAGGCCACAGACACAGGCTGCAGCAAGGAAATTTCCAGCTAAATCGAAGAAGGCAAATTTTCCCCCGTCAGGGTTTTTCATCCGGGTCTCCATCCTTAGAGATCTCCAAACTCAGCTGGGCAAGGCCCAGAGCAACCTAAGCTGGCTTTGCGGTTTGCCCTGTTGGGAGAGGTGGTAGGACAGGGGCCCGTGGCTTCCTCAGTGCTGTGGATCATTCCCCACCCTGGTTCCTGGGGTCTGTAGGGATCTTGCACCCAGCTTACACAGTCTGAAGCATTTGGGCCCCGAATGCTGGACGTACTGCCAGCAAGTGGCGTGTGCGTTGGGCTACTGTAGGGATGAAAAGCACCAGCCCGGACAGACCCGTGGGGTACGCAGGATGGCCTCTGCTGTGCGGGAACAGCCTGGGGGATGTCCTCAGAGCAGACACGGGGCCCTGCTGGGGTTCCCTGAGGCTTTCCACAGCGGAGCACGTGGTGAGAAACGAGACCACCTCGAGAACAGGAGTGTGAATGGCTGATGGAGCGAGGGAGAGGAGGCTCAGGGACAGCCCAGGGGTGTGACTGCCGCTTCCGCGGTGTCCCAGGCTCCTGCTGGGTGCTGCGGGAGGACGAAGTGGGGCACGCCGGATCCACACGCGCCTCTCCACTCCGCAGGTTGGGGCGGGTGGAGCTGCACGGACGACACCAAGGCCCAGTCTGTCGGTGTGCAGAACCTGGCCACCCTCCTGCTCACCCTGAGCAACCTCATGTTCCTGCCAGCCATAGCGGTTGCTGTTTATCGCTACTACCTGGTGGAGGCCTCCGTCTACACCTACACCATGTTCTTCTCCACGGTAGGGTTTGCCTTTTGCCAGGTCCCCTTGCCAGCTCCCCCCGAGCATCAGGGATGCTGCGTCAGACTGAAGTCCTCGGTGGAGCAGTCCATCCTGGAGCTCCACAAGGAGCTTCTAGGATCGCTGGGCAAGCACCTCCGTGGACACGTCCTGCCCCTTCAGAGCTTGTCAGGAATGTTATTTCCACTGGGCAATTCCGCCCGCGCTGCGGGTGCTCGTATTTGGGGGTGGGACCCCAGGCAACGGAGGTGGGGTGGGAGCATTGTGCACTTGACGGGTGCTGTCCGAGGAGCTCTTGGCTGCTGCTGGGAGGGTGCGGGTTGATGGCTTCTCTCATCTGCTTTCCATAACGCCACGGTGGTTTGGTGGAGCTTCCTGGAGGCGCTGCCAGGAGGGGTCCTGGCTGCCGTGGGCTGAGCCTTTTCCTGCCTCTCCTTCCCGGGAAGCTGTGAGGTGCTGCTGGATTCACGCTAGCCTTTGCTTTTGTCCCCGGCTCTAGTTCTACCACGCGTGTGACCAGCCAGGCGTCGCGGTGATGTGCATCATGGACTACGACACACTACAGTACTGTGACTTTTTGGGCTCTGTGGTGTCCATCTGGGTGACGATCCTGTGCATGTCCCGGGTGAAGAAGATCCTGAAATACGTGAGTGTCGGGTAACCCCGCACGGCAGGGCCAGACCGGAGCCAGCCAGGCCACGGGTGGCCATGCTGAGCCCTCTCACCGCTGCGTTTTCATGAGAGCCCAGCCTGGTGACAAAGCCTGTTTGTCACCCAGTGCCACCCTGGTTTTTAAACCAGTGGCTTGTTTTGTCCCAGGAGTTTGGATCATGAACCTGTGTGCTTGTAGGGCCGGGGCCGGAAGGGACTGAGGTTTGTGGGGGAGGTTTGTGGGTCCTCTGGTTTAAGGTGCTGCTCCCCAGCCCTGCACGCGTGGGGACGGTGAGGCCCTCCCTGCCTCTGGCGCGGCTGGCTCTGCCCCGGCGGCCGGGGGGGCGGCGGGCTCGCCCCTGGGGGCGGGGGAGCCGCTGGTGAGAGCGGTGGTGTCTCATTCCCAGGTCCTTTTCGTCTTGGGGACCCTGTTAATTGCCATGTCCCTGCAGCTGGACCGCAGAGGGGTGTGGAACATGATGGGTCCCTGCCTCTTTGCCCTCATCATCATGATCACGGCATGGGTAAGTAAGGGCAGCCAGGCAGGACTTGCTGCCCTCTGCTCCCCTCCCGACAGTGATGGTGGCAGAGCAGACCCCAGGCTCCGGCACTTCTACAGGCATGACGTGATCTCCTTGAACCACCCAGGTGGAGGAGGCGCAGGGGAAGGGGTTCACCCTCCATCCCTCCAGTAGCTGAGAAATCCCCTGGTTACGGGTCTCGGCACAGTCCAGCTGCTGCAGCTCCTTTAGAGCGAGCGCGTGTGGCTGCGGTGTTGTCCCAGAACGGTCGGTCGGCTGTTGTCCGTGCCCCGGGCAGGAGCTGTGGCATCTGCGCTGGGCTTCGGTGCCACAGCTGGAATAGGGGCTTTTGCACGGAAGAGGTGGGGCGACGAAAGGGGGGAGGCTGAATTTCTCGGGGGCAGCAGGCGCACCCTCTTGTTCTGAGGCTGGCAGATGCTTCTGGGTCAGGCAGCGCTGCCTGTTTCCCCCTGCCTAAGCCTTCTGCTTGGCTGCTTAACCCTCCTGTGCTCTGACACCTCCAGGTTTACCACGGAGTGAAGCGCAGACACTGCTACCCCTCCTCGTGGAAGCGCTGGGTTTTCTACCTCCTCCCAGGGATCACCTTGGCTTTCATTGCCATCTCAGTATACGCGTTCATGGAAACCAATGAGAACTATTACTACACCCACAGCATCTGGCACGTGCTGGTGGCTTGCAGCGTTGCTTTCCTGCTTCCTCCTCGGGACAAGCATAAGAAGCCCTGGGCCTGGTCCCAGAAGCTCACTTGTCGCTATCAGATCTGCCAGAACGACCGTGAGGAGCTCTATGCTGTGACCTGAACTGCCTGGCTCCTGGTCGCGGAGGTGGAGGGCTGGGGAGGTGGCTCTTCGCCTGGGCTGCCCCGCTCTCGCACGTCAGCAATCCTCTTAGGTGCTCATTCACTGCCCGGGAGGGTGCAGTACGGACTGGGGTTCAAGATGAAGACGGTGGGCTTGGCTTGTGAAGGCAAGTTTGAGGCCACCTCTGCTTTTCTGCTGGGATGAGGCAGGTTCTTCGTGGTTCGTAGATCAAGGAATGTCCCGTGGCTCACCTCCCCGTGGCCCTGGGGGAAATTGCCAACACTTCTGCCCCTCCTGCTGCGTCCGTGAGGCGTGGGCTTAGCCCATGCCGCGCTGGGGCCGGGGCTTTGGCTGCTGGGCTCTTCTCTGCACCCCTGTCCTAGCAGAGGACTGTGGGGCGGGGATTTCCCCCACCATCCTGCAGTCAGCATTTGAACCCAAGGGAAGAACAAGGTTTCTTCTGATCTGGGGGGCAAATGCTGCCGCATGCCCTTGGTGCTGAGGGGGAGGGAGGGAGCTGGTTTCGGCGTGCGCTGGGCCCTTGGCCGCCGTCTCCGCAGGGGTCTGGAGCCTCTCTCCCCGTGAAACAGGCAGTGCTGCTCTTACCTAGTCCTGATTCTGGGAGGGGGTGGAGAATGAGGCCGGGACTTGCGCCCTGGATTCAGGATCAGACTTGGCAGGAATGTGAAAAAATCCTATGTGGGGACACGCAAAAGGCGTCGGGGGCATCTCGCCCAGAGCTGTGAAACCTGCCGCAGTGCAGGGTTTAGTCTTAAGGTTAGCCCTCCGAGCTCATCGGGAAGGAGCCGGGCTGCTGCGCTGTCCCCTTCCTCTTTCAGCGTTCAGGTACTCGCCGTCTTGCTCCCTTTTCCTTTTTTTTGGTGGTTTTTT